AACCGGACTCAGTTTGTATTAAGAAATTGTTTAGTGTATAAATATAAGAGAAACCATTCAAATTTTATTCTTTTATTAATAATAAGAGAAACAAAGGCAAACAAATGAATAGATATCACTTCTAATTTCTATATTAAATTAAATGATAAAGAAAAGTTAAATAAGCCTATAAATGTTCATGTCAAGTCGGCATTTGCACGATTCACCAGCCCCTCTTTCCCAACTTCTCGCAATCTCTACAAATTAAGGTGATTCTTTTTGTCCCTATTTTTCAAAATAGTTGATTATTGATTTGCTCTAATGATTCAACTATTTTAGCCATTCAACCAATTGTAAAATATTCACTTTTTATTCTATTTCTTATTTTTGGGTAATATCATATTTCTAATCAGTTCATGATTTAAATTCGTTTCTTTTCAATTTTAGTTTTATACGAAGTACTGATTTTCGTTATTCATGTTCAAAAGTATGGTTTTTCTCAATCTCACATTAGGTCGTAGTCTTTTTCAGTTTTTCTTTTAAGATTGATTTTTTATATATATTATACTTATTTAATATAAGAATTTTTTTTTTATTTGCACCAGATCTCCTAATCTACCGAGCCGTCCTTGTACCCCATCTAATGGGGAACAGTACTATGAATTTATTTACCATATAATTCTTTAGTTGTTAGACCGGATGTGAGAACTTTGAAGTTGCTTTTCTTTACTCATTCTTTCTTTAGGTATGTGTAGAAATATTTGATTCAAGCAATTAGCTGTTAATTACCTGCTTAAATATATGAAATGATCATTCCACATAGCTGGCCTAAAATTAGCTTTTTCGAAAGTGGCTTTTGGGAGGTTTTTGCTCTTTTGACGGGTCAAATACATACTTCGTAACAACACCTAACTAATCACTATTTATATTGTTGCACATTTTGGTATCAACTTGTGAACTCTAAAATTAATTAAATAAATCAGTATCATAACTATATTTAATGTTTCTATTAACATTATTTTTCAATTTTAAGGCAAAACATCTTATGTCATGGCTGAAATTCTGTTCATACAGTGAATTATATAATGAGCCCGTTTGATAGCACGAAAATCGGCTGATTTGGCCGATTCTGCTGAAATTTATGAAGTTCTGGTTGAAGTGACTGTATTGGCTGATTCAAGAATTTTTTTTATGTAGAAATAGCTAAAATGATCATCTACATTAACTTCAGCCAATACAGTCAGAAAAGTAACTCCAAACTTACTTTTTCTGCTTATTACACAATTCAACGCACGAAAGCAAAAATTACATGTTTGGTGAAAATTTTGGCTAATAAGCCTGATAAGCCGAAAAACTGTGTTACCAAACGGCCTCATTATTTCTTTTCATGCCACCAATGTACGGTAGACTTCATGCATGAAGTTCCGACCACCATGTCATGTTGGTTTTTTTGCTTGAAATTTCATAAGTATTACTGTTTGAAACGGATATGTATAATTAAGATTTGTTTTATTTAAGAATTAAGATTCCAAAATAGAACGATATCAATAATTAAAGTAGCGATTACCCCTCATTTGAGACTCCTCTAAACATTGAAATCGCACTAGACGAATTCCCCGTGCGATGCACGGGTGAAATCTAGAGTAGATGAAACTAATAAATTAGTATTATAAAAATATAATATTAATATTTCATATGCAAATTTGAGTTATTCATTTTACAAAGCTTCAAAATTTGGAATATTGGATGGAATTTTTGTTCCCTAGAAAAACATATAAAATTTAAGTATAATATAAAAATGCAAGTATATATGAAAAGTGAAAATGTACGTAGAGTGCATGAAAATAATAAAATTAAAGTAAAATAATACGGAGTATCAAATATTAATTTGGTGTGAGAATAAACTCAACATGACAATGTACGAATTTGATTGTGTAATATAATGTGATGTATTTACTTAGATGGTCCAATGAAAGTTTTACAAAGCATGATGATCATCCCTTGTAGAAGTGGACAAAATAATCCTAAATGAAAAACATCATGTACACCACCTACTTAGGGGATGTTTGGAATTAACTCACTCTGCTTCTTGGAGTAATTTAAAGCATCAGAAGTGTTTCTGCATTTTCACCCAAACACTCCAACTTCTGTTTATGCTCACTGAAGGAGCAGAAGCAGTACGTTTTAATAATCAGATCCAAACACCCCCTTAGTATTACCGCTGCCTCATTTTTGTTATTCAAATTTGAGTTGAATAAAATGAAATATTGATAAGAACCACATATCTTTTATCTAAAAAAGAAATATGTCATTCATTTTTGGACAATGTAAGAAGAAAGTAATACCACTAAAATAGGACAGATGGAGTAATATGTATATCAGGATGTCAATTCACACATAAAAGAATTTCCAAGTCATTTCTTGTGTTGAATCTACACACGACATTTAATTGGTTTAATTTGGTAAAAAATTAGACTTCAAAGACATATATATCCACTTGAGCACTTCAGAGATTGTTCTTGTTTTTCACTATGTACTCCATCTTACATTTTAGATATTATATTTAATTTATTCAAATGACATATAAAAGGAAGGTAAATGTTTTTAGACAATGCAAAATATAACATCAACCATAAATGTATTAAGAACTCTAAAATAGTACTACCAAAAAAAACTCTAAAATAGTATATATGGGTATTTATAAAGAAAATCTATAATTATCCATCTGGATTAACGTTGATTTAGATGATTTTGTCAATTTTCATCATTGTGAATATATGCCCGGTCTAGTGTTATTCTAGGCAAATAAAAAATTTTAGAACCAAAGTTTGTTGTCTCCCGGACAGTCCAAGATAACTTCACTTTTTTGTTGATTAATTGATTTCTTTTTTTACCATTTTGGTCCGTCTTATTAAGATTGTCTCATTTTACTATTTTGGTCTATCCCACTAAGATTGTCCCATACCTTAGAACATCTCCAATGCTAATACGATATCGGTGCATACGTGGTATGAGAGATAGCCAATCAGAAAACAATAAATAAAACATCGCTCTCCTTATTCGAAGTATCTTATATCATTTTGGTAAGTTTTTCTTCACATAAGACCGTAGAAAGAAAGAGAGAGAAATGTCATAAAATCAGTATTTTGTGTTTATCTCTCTCATGTCACATGTGCACCGTGCACATTGTAGCATTGTAGATGCTCTTATTTGGTAAAGTTTGTGTGGCTCTAAATCATTTTTATTTATTCATACTTTATCAATTCAATATCAATCACATAAACCACTTTTTATAGATTTACTTGTCGTTCCCTCTTGTCCCATTGTAAGTGGGACGGAGGGAGTATTTTTTAAGGGACCAAGAAGGTTCGTTAATGTTTTTATTTTTTCCATAAAAGAATTGTCTTTGGTCGTAGTGTGTATAAGGATTTTGATTCTATTGTTTGAAAAGCGATATCCATTACATGTTATTATACTAATTTGCAATTCAATCAATATAATTAAATACTTAATTTGTGCAATGGACTTTCATAGACATTTTCAAATATCTATTCATAGAAAAACATACTACCTCCGTCCCATATTTATCTTCATAGTTCGGTTTACGATGCTTGACTGACGATAAAGCAACTCAATCCCTGTTCACACTCGGATTATTTTTAGTAAATAAAATTTACATATTCAAAAACTACATTAAAACCGCTACAAAGCCTGATCAAGAAATTTTAAGTTTGATAAAAATTTGATATATAAAGTAAAAAATTAAGAGTAATTTGAGTTGACCATGTAAATAGTAACTATGAAGATAATTTTGGGACGGAGGGAGTAATTCATTGGACTTGTCAACCTTATCTACTACCATCTATACCATAAATAATTAAAGGCTAAAGGGTCAAATAGGTACATGAACTAACTTAAAGTGTTCAATTAGCCCCTTAGATAGGAGGTTCTGCCTGGACGTCGGCAATAGGGGCGGTTTCCGGTAGAATTTTTTGATGAATTTTTTTGAGCATATTCTTCATTAAGTCTAGTTTACCCATATAAAATTTCAGATAAAAATTAAATCGGGAAGGCAGTCAAATGATTTTCCAAAATGTACTGCGTTGTTTAACTGCGCAGTTATCTTCAAAAAATCATTTGACTGCCTTCCCGGTTGAATTTTTAGCTGAAATTTGGTATGGATAAACTAGACTTAATGAAGAAGATGCTCAAAAAATTTCATCAAAACTTCCACCAGGAACCGCCCCAATTGGCGACGGCCGGGCAGAACCTCCTAAAAGTTCATGTACCTATTTGATCCTTTAGCCATAATTAAAAGTAAGTTAGTACAAACTAAAATTACCATATCAATCCACTATGTGTGTTTATTCGTATGTGCATTAGTGGCTCCTAAACTTGACTGGAAGTGATACTAAAAGGTATGTTGTCGTGATTGTGTAGTATGAAACACCTGGTACAAAGTTTTTCATGAGAAATTTGCTAATTGTCATATTAATGCAATAATTAATTTGGGCAATAATTATTTCTTTTATTTCTTTTATATTATACACTTTTTATATACAGTAGGATTCCTTCCCACATATGACTCGTAACTTCATTTTAGGGCAATAAATGTATTAAATGGTCGGCACTAAATGCTTCATCTTAGCATATATTCATACCTGCATACTACCATATATATACTCTTAAATGGTTGGCAACCTCATTTCTTTGCATATAAACTTCAACCGTGTATACTCTTTTATTTCTTTCTCTTGGACGGTTATCATGTTTATGGTCTACAATAATTCCTTATATATCTAATACCCTTGATTTGGGCGGGAATTTTCCCTCCAATAATATAAAGATGTTTGATATGGTCAAACCGGCAAACAAATTAAACAAAACATTTGGTCACCGAAAAGTCTATGTAAAAGTGGTATACTATGGATCATTTTGTCAATAAAACAGTTCATCGTATATATCATTTATGCACTGTACAAATTCAATTGACTTAGCTTGTTTGCTGATCTTATCAAAAGCAGGATCATGCATTACGGTGTGCTAAAAATCAGCTATGTACGGCTGCCAAATCTGAGCTGGCAAAACAAAAATATATCGAGATTATATGTAATAATTGCAGTATGTAGTTATATTTCTTTTTTGAATATCAATTTTCCGGCCCCAACTTCATCTATTGGTGGGGCAGTAATATTTTTAATGTTAATGGTTGTATTAGAATAACTGTGTACTATATATATATATGAAAGAATAATTATGTACTAGATATATAAATATGTAAGAAGCTAGTACTTCCACTTATGGTTGTATATTGCAATCATAATATAATGCATTAATGCTAGCTAGGTTTCTCCCACTTATGTCATACGGAGTAATATTTGTTACATATATAGAGTTAATGAAACTAGATTTCACATATAATAGGGAAATTTACCAATATATTACTAATAAAACTCCTGTGATTCCCATAATATAATATGACTAAACACGTTTCTTGACCATTGTATGACTAGAAATACATTCCCTTTGCATTACTGCCTCACTCATCGTGAGGATCACTTCCACATTTTTTGGATTAATCAATTACTTTTAGGTATGATAATACGAAAAAAAAACTGATGGACTTCCCCCGGAATGTATTGTTTTTGAATTTCTAATAAAATACAATGAATGTTTCCCGACATTTACCCCACCGATTTTGGTGGTTGACATTCCGGGTAAAAAAAACTGATGGACTCATATATTGAGAAACATGTCTTCTTTTAGGCATAAGAGGGGTAAATATCTCTATATACTTCATCTACTTCTTTTAACAACTTCAAATCCATTGCAATTTAATGAACACAATACTTTTTGGCGAATTAGGGGGGTTAAGATCTTATTCTTGAATCTTCTTCTGCTCCTTCATGGAGCAGAAACAGAACCTGAAGTATTTGGGTGAAAGTGTAGAAGTGATTCTGGTGCTCTAATTTACTCCAAGAATTAGTTTTTTTAGAAGCTGAGGGTGACTAGCTTGTGAAAATTGATTCTGATTCTGCTTCTGCTTTAAAAAAGATGCAGAATGAGAATCAGTTCCAAACACCCTTTTAGTAACAACTTTCTGTCTCAATTTAATGTCTACTTTCACTTCTTATTCGATCTTCCTTTTCTTTCTCCATTTTTACTTTTATTATTCTAGGAATTATTCAATCTTCTTTTTACTTCTTTTCCCTTTATTCCGGTCCATTTGTCTACTTGTTTTTGCTTTGTTTTGTTTCCATTATCACCTTTGATCCGCGCTAAAGGAAAAGCGAAAATTAAAACTCCGATCCTTGAAAGGTTGTGTACTAGCCGGTAGGCCCGGTACAATTCTATGTGTATGACTATATATATATCCCCAACACTATTAATTACATTGTATTGCAACAAATTAAATCTTATAGTTGTATGTGTAGACATCAAAAAATGGCGCAACTTTCCATAATTTTGTTCGCGTTCCTGGTTGCTTTTGTTTCAGGTACTATAATTAGCAAGTTCTTTAAATTTATTTGATTGATGGCCTATGCTTTTTGTTCGTGGAATTGCGAAAATGAAATGTAAATTCTTGTATCGGCCGGCCAAACTTATAACTATGGATGTTTTCTTTTGGACTGAAATTTGCTGGTCTGGTCTGGTCTGATCTGGTCTGGTCTAGTCTGTTTAAGTCTGGTCTGGTCTGGTCTGGTCTGGTCTGAACTGGTCTGGTAAACGTCTGGTCTCAGTGTATTTTATAACTGTCCAAGTCTGGTCTGGTCTGGTCTGGTCTGTTTAAGTCTGGTCTGGTCTGTTTAAGTCTGATCTGGTCTGATCTGGTCTGGTCTGGTCTGATCTGGGACTGAAAACAGTACAAAAGAAAACATCCTATAATACCTCTGATCTGGTCATAATATCTTTTAATTCCCATGCTTTCTTTTGTTTCCATGTTTTGAAATCGAAAATATGATTGTTATGTGTTTGTTCCTGAAATAGGAGTAATAAGACAATATTTACTGTCATTTTAGAGTCATTACTGCATAAATAGTTGCGGCTAATGCCAATATCTTTCGATCATGACATTAGCAATTCCTATTTTACGAAAAAAACATAAGAATCCAATTTTGTAAATCCAAAACCAATTACTTCTGCTTAGGACAATTTCCCTTAAAGTTAACCTACACAAATACTACATTTATAGTAAAAAGATGTACATACATTTATTTAAAGTTAATCTACACAAATACTAGGAGTAATACGTACGGAGTAGTAGTTAAACTTGTATTGAAGTTAAATATTCATACATTTATTTTGTACCACACTAGGTACAGGTTTTATTGTAAAAAGATGAATGAAAATAGTATAAATTAAACATCGAACATACAAAGTAAGAGAGAATAATTAAGAATTTTGTTGATAAGATTAATTGGTATTGAAAATGACATACTACGTATAAGAGGAATATGATCTATAAGTGAAGTGTTGAGATTTTCATTTTTTATTTTCATAGCATAAGTTTGATTATATGACAGGAATACGATAAAAAGAGTAGTTTTTTTACAGCTATGAAAAAGAGTAGTTGATATACTACGTATCATATTTTACTCAAGTACTCAACTTTTCCACACCAAACCTGATCTGTTTTTTTTGTATGAACGGTTTGAACGAAGTCCGGAATACAAATTACAGAACAGTACTCCCTCCCTTATTTAGTACCTTCGTGAATAACGTACTCTAGGTTTCTTTTATTTATAAAGGTAATGACTAATAAAAAATAGGGAATATATGGAGAAAAAGTAGTAAATGTACTACGTAGTACTACTTAAATACTAATGAAATACGAAGTAGAAAGATAAAAAGTAGAAGAAATGTGCAAGAGGAGAAGAAAAAGTGGGAAAAGGGAGTGCTCTATAATTCTACTTTTGTTTTTTAAGGAAGTGATTTATTTTAAAACTTACATAAAAATTGTTTAATTGTAAAAATTGATAATTCTTAAAAGTAAAACTAGAGTGTTATGCGAAAAAATGTTTTTGAGTGTATTGTTAGGTAAAATTAAGCGTAAATTTGTAACATGTACCGCAAATATGTCAAAGTAGTGGTACTTCAAGTATGATGTAACGCAGAGTGTCAAAGAAGTGGTACTTTAATCATAAATTCATCATGCTTGAATTGCATATTTGATCGGCACAGGATTAAGGAATAACAATAAATGATGTTTGCTTTTACATTTTTTCATCTTCCTAAAAATAGATACCTTTAAGTTAATGGAAAAAAGTAAAAAAAATGGTAAATTTGTCACTTTATTCTGATTTACGCACCTAAAATAGAAAGTGGAAAACCATTTTGGAACAACCAAAATAGAAAATTTTGCAAATCAAATTAGAACGAAGGGAGTATATAATATTTCAAAATATGAATACTATATTATTTTAATTTGTCATTTTGTTAAATTGAAATAACTTATTGTCATCCACAAATAATGTTACGTTACTATTTGTTGGCATTGACATGCTTTCACATAATAGTAGTATTTTTCAATTGATAATATTTTTCAAGCATTGCAATAATCACTCCCAAAACAAAAAAAGTAAAAATGAGTGATCATATTTCAGAATTCATATTTTTTTGGAAGGGAACTTTTAAAATTTAAACGAACCTCTACTTCGCATTAATTTCTACTCCGTATTTTTTAATCTCGACTGCGCTAGCTAGTGCAAAATTCGGTGGTCTCCGCCAATAATCACTCACATATTTCAATATTTGAGATTTTGAGCCACTCTTATTCTATAGTCTCGGCTCTCTACCAAACCACCACCACCACCACCACCATAATAATAATAATAATAATAATAATAATAATAATAATAATAATAATAATAATAATAATAATAATAATAATAATAATAAAAGTAATTGAATACATATTACTTAAAGTAATGTTATTTATAAGATTTTTTACAAAAATATTACTAAAATAAAATTTATTCACACAAATATGATTAATAGTTACTGCACTGTTGTATCATGGTAACTTAAGTTTAAAAATTGAACATAAGTTACTATCATTTCATTACTACTATATTCACTAGTCACATTTTTGTAAGCAGTCTTTATTTCAATCATATTTGTCTAATTATTTCTAATTATAAAAATAGAACCTCCATAATTAGTGTAGTGACTATAATAGTAACTTATATAATTATATCTAGTAACTTATGTTTAATTTTTATACCTATTAAGTGACTATGAGTCAAAACTATATATACTTCCTCCATTCTTTTTTTAATTGAAATAGTCTACTTTTAACGTTTGCAAAACACAAGTTTGATCATTAATATCTTTCATTCCTTATTATAAAGAAATTAAAAATTTATATTTTGAAAATTTAATGAGAGGAATTCAAAATTTTTTTTATAAATGTAATTAATTATACATCAATAAATAAAATATAGTCAAAGTAGAATATGTGAATAGTGCAAAAAGTCCAATGTTGCAAATAAACAAAAAAAAAAGGAGGTAGTAGTAACTATTATTAATATTTTTGAAAACCTCATAATCATTATAATAATAGTAATTAATAACCCGTGGTGTGAATAATAATAAATTTGATTTTATATGTACATGCAGTTGACAACATGATTCCCGGACACTATTATTCCTATGTAAACGCTGATGAGATTTGCAACGATAAACCAATAAGAAAACTTTCATGCAAAGATAATCTTCCTATGGAAGACTGTACAAAGAGCTGCAAAGGGCAATACACAAACGCAACTGCGGCCTGCCTGGGGGATGTTTGTACATGTCAATATCATGCTAAGAATTGCACTAAAATTGATTGGGAGATACAGGCGGGGCCGCCGGCAGCAGGGCTGCCGGCACTGCCGTCGCGGGCATCGAGCATATTATGCTTACTACCAACTCACACCGTTATTATAATGGTTCTCATAACAGTATCATGTATATTAGCATTTAATTGGGAAAATTTAATTTTCTGAAATAAGAGTTGTTTTTGAAATTTGAAAACAGGAGTGCTTTATTTTTATTTGCTAAACAAGAGTAATAACTGTCAATTTTTTAAAATATTATTATGTCTAAGATTGGTGATGAAAAATGACGATTACTACTCTTACCTAGGAATAAAAGTTAAGTAGTCATATTTTAAAATTTACAAAGGCTTGTACTCTTGTTTAAGGCGATTTCTTTTTTTTTTTGGAATGGAATTTAGGGCAATTTCTTTATTAATAACAACACGATCTTTATTTGCATTTTGGATTGTTTTAGCTTATGTATAGTAGTTCATTCATTCATTGAACTATTAATATATCTATCGTAAATTTCAATATAATTTCCCTACTTTATTGCTTCAATATACTAGAAATATCTGCT